TTTCACAATTATTCTTTTTTTATAAGCCTAAAACATGCTTTTAAAGAAAAATGTGTAAATTAAAAAATCAGTCCAGCCAAATTAAAATAAAATTAAACAATCACTACATATGACCAAAATGCAAAAACATGCCTAATCAGGGGGTCTAAACAGTGAATATCCCAAAAAAGCATCAGTCATGAAAACGTGTAAATAATAACTTCAGTCCCTTCAGGTGACCAACATGCAAAAACATGTTAAACTATGGGGGACTAAACATCCAATATCCCAAAAACTATAAAGCATGCATAAAAATAGATAAATAGCAAGTTTGGTCTTTACAGGTGACTAACATGCAAAAACACCCTAAAGTTAAGGGGTCCTAAACGTGACTTTATCCTAAAGTTCCCCTATATATCCCACTTTTTTTTTCATTTTAACCGAAAACTTTTAAAAAAACTCTAAAATCCTCTCCCCTCTCTTCTTTTCTTTTGGCCGGCCCACTATCGGTCGTTCTACCACTGCTCCGACTAGTACTCTGGCCATCGTTCCGGCCACCACACACAGTGGTCGGAACTCCTAAACCAACCCAAAACCTCCTCTATTTTCAGATCTACCCACATAAGCTTAGATCTTGGCTAAAACCACCTAAAAGGACCCCTAAAGACCCCAAAAAAATCTCGACCTTTTGGTTCTCACACGCTTTGACCGCGCGAAGACAAATCGGCCCTCCGGTTCGACTCTTCTCTCATGTAACTAGATCTACTCTTCTCTTTCTTAAAAACCTAGTTTTTTTATTTTATTATATTTATTTCAAAGCTGAAAATAAATAAAAAAAAAGATACCTTGAAATTTTATGTTTTTATTGCTTTTGAAAACCAAAAGGGGAACCCCTTTTTTACAACACTATTCAGGTTTATTACCCTTTTTTTTACAGATTTCTTTTTTTTAATAAAATGAAATCATTACATTGTCTTGCGTGTTAATTTGGGTGAACTGACATGGAAGAATTGTCTTGCACGGTTGATGGAGATGGCAGTGGTAGGTGACTGGTGCAGTAAGACTACTAGCACGTGGTTGGTGGAAATAATGGTGGCATGGGACTGGTCCTCTTGCAATAGGGTGAAACCCTACTTTGCTTGATCTGGATCATTGGATGGGGTCCAGATCTGACGGTCCATGATGGGTGGCGGCTAGAGCTAAGGTAAAACCCTAGTTGGTGATTAATTTAGGTTGTTTGATTTATTCCAGATCTAACGGCGAGGATAATGCAGCTCGCTGGAACATGAGGAAACCCTAGATGTGTGGGTTCCTCATTTGGTCGGTTGGGCTCACTGTTTGGGCCAGTCGATGTTGGACTTCGGGTATGGGCCTGCTGGGTCGGTTGGGTCTGTTGTAAAGGCCTAAACGGGTGTCTGGATAAAATGGGTGTCGACACACACTCTGACATTTATAGTGCTATAACCCGAGACTTCAAGGAATAACAACAATTCATTTATCACTTTAATCGCCTATTATTTAATATTGATTAAATTATAAATAAATAAATAAATAAAAGTACATGTCAATATATTTAAAACATTTGTGATAATTGTACGAACCAAGCTACCTTAGTGGTTAAAGGGATGGTTGTTATCCCTAGAGTTCTCAGGTTAAATACCAGAGGGTGTTTGAGCTTCCATAGTCAAATTATTGAGAACCTTTAAAATATATATTATCTTGTAATCACTTTAAATTAATAAAAAATAATGTTTTGATAATTTTATTTAAATTAATACTTTTATAAATTTAAATAATAGTATTGTTTATAATATGTATCGGATTTAAACATCTGACGTGTAATGTTCCGTAATTAATGTATACAACCGTTTTTTAAGTTTGTATATTATTATTATTATTATTATTATTATTATTATATTTGAGATTGTATTTTGAATCAATTGAGTAAATACTAAAATATTTAAAATTTTAAAGTTTGTATATATTTTTTTTATTATTATAAATTTATAATGGAGATGTTATTCGAATTAATTATTATCAATTTAATTGAATAAATATCAATATTCAAAATGATAATAAGTATTATTATAATGATACTTTAATATTTCTTTATAATTTTTAAATGAAACAATTAAAAACTCACACTTTTAAAAATCAAAATCATATTTAAAAAAATCTATATATAAATAGTTTATCACTTCACCAATAATATTTTTATATAAAAAAATATTTTTATCACTTAAATCATAAATATGAAAAATCTAATATATATATATATATATATATATATATTAAATATGTTGTATAACCCCAATACAAACGAGTAAATACGTTAACAACTAACATTAACGTATTGTATATGAACCAAACAAAAGAATTTTTTTTATTCTTTGAGTTTCGAGTTCGAGCAACATGAATGTCAGGGTTAGAATGTTCAATGTTAAATGGTTTGGACTATCTTTGAACGAATAGTATATATTCTTATATTTATCTCATATTAATAAAAAAATTAACATCCTACATTAATCATATTTAAATATATTATATTCATTTATATTATTTTTAATATATTATGTGGGCATGATGCCTGATGGTATCTTATTATATATTTTTTATTAATCATAATTTTTTTCGACTTTCGACTTTGATATGTGGTTATTGATATTTTTAGTAGTTTGATATCCTCTTATACTTTATTTTTCTTATGCAGTCATATCTATTTTTATATATCTTTTGTTTAAGTTTTCGTGGATGAGTTTTTTAATATTTTTTGTGTTTTGTCATTATATAATCTCAAGTAGCTAGTTTTCGTGTCAGAGACGGAGCCATGATTGAACAATGAGGGGAGCAAGTTGTTTAATTTCAAAATAAATTGGGTCTTAAATAGTAATTAAACCATAAAATTAAGGGTTTAATTTCATTAATTTTAAAATTCAGCGGTCTTAAAATATAATTAAACCAATTAAATATGAGATTAAGGTTTAATTCAATTTATTTTAAAACTGATAGTGTCTTAAAAAATAATTATACCAGAAAAATTTGAGGGCACAAAGGCTTAATTACAATGATTTTGACCATCAAATTTTGGGGGACTATTATCCTCCTACGGTCCTACCTATAACAATTGATATGCCTATGTTGGTGTCAAAAACTATAGGAAAATGTCTTAGTTTATATTTATAATTATAAATTTTTAGTAGATTATATAAAAAAAAAACGTTATTTTACCAAACGTTCTTATCTTGAAAAATGTTAATTTTAATTTTACCAAATATCAGTGGCGAGTCCAAAAGGAAGGCCAATACTCGATGAGACACAGGGCCCCACACCTCATTTATCGTAAACGAACAACAGGACAGAACGCGACACCCTACTGATGCAGTGATTATCTTTCCCAACTAAAAGAATTGAAGTGTTATATCCAAGAATTTATTAATGGTTTTAGTAATAAAAAATATTAATCATTTTAAAAAAAATTAAATATGATTAATTATATCTGCAAATAATGCATATATTGTTATTAAGTTAAAATTCTTTTTGAATAAACATTATTTTATAATTAAGTTATACTATTTAGAAAAAGTGTAAAACCCAAATTCTCTCTTAATATTTATTGAAATAATTATTTTAACTTTTCTTTGAAAGAATTTTAAATTTTGATCATAATAATTAATTTTAAATAAAAAATATTAATTTAGCAATATAATATTAATGGTTAACGTGATAATTTTATATGTATTTAATTATTAATGTGATATACATCAAAGTACTAAAAGTGATTATGTATCATATATTATTAGGGGCGAAACTATACTTTATCTCGGAAATCTCTGTTCTCCCTATATTTTATTAAAAAAATATATGGGTAAATATTACATTAGGATCCTATATTTAAGTTATTTTAATTTTGTCTCCCTCATTTTCTATGGTTAATTATAATTTATCCTCTCATCTTCTATGATTAATTGCACTTTGTCCCTTTCTATCCTATCATTAAAAGTAATAACAACATGGACTGTGGGATCTTAGAAATTTCAAAATTATTATATAATTTTGGTATTTTTTTAATTTTCTATTATTAATATATTTTTGTTTCTAAATTTTTATAAGTTTGTCCCTTAAAATCTTATAAATTCACCTCTAAGATAAAATTATGCGTCTATCTCTAAATATTAATGTGATATATATCATGTCAATAAAAATAATGACAGTATATATAAATTATATCATCAATTAAACTTATATAAAAATTTTAATAACTAATATTTATTGTAAAGAATTATTTTCAATACCAATAAATTATTAATAATTAAACATAAAATATTATTGAATTAAACGTTATAAAATAAATTTTAATAGTATATTAAAATTTAAATTAATTGCATCATACTATTATAAATTATGAATCTCATTTTAAATTAGTCCTTAAGCTCTTAAATATTTCAATCTCATTCTCAAACTATGAATCTCATTCTAGATTAGCCTTAAATTTTTAAACAGTCCAATTTCATCCCTAAACTATGAGCCTCATTTTAAATTAGTCCCCAAATTTTTGAATCTTTCAATTTCATCAAAATATGTAATTAGTTTCAACCATTATTTAACCTAATTTTTATTTTTTTTAAAACACATAATAATATAATTTGGCCTAACGATTTTATTAACAATGGATTTGATTAGTATATGTGTATAGTTTGGGATGATATTGAAATGATAAAAAAGTTTGTTGACTAATTTATAATGAATGTCATAGTTTGATAATGAAATTGAAATATTTAAAAGTTTAAAAACTATTATAAAATGATAAACATAGTTTAAGGATGAAAGTAGATCGTTTAAAAAGTTTCGAAACGAATGGTATGATACAATTAACTCTTAAAATTTTATTATTGAATTACCTGTGAACATGTTAAATTTCCACGTCAGTATACACCAAATCCACTTGAAACCCTTGTTTTTCCACCGTTCCTTTTCATCCCGCCGCCGGAAGCCCCTTATAAAAACTCCTTACTCTCTCAATTAATGTCACCAGAAAATAAAATAGCCGTTGCTAATTATATTTACTACTATTTATCTACCTTTTCTCGATTTTTTAGCTCTACCGAGTAAATTATAGCAGTTTTCTGTGTTCTTTTTGAAAAGGGAAATTCATTTTCACATGCTTTGGATGCTAAATAATCACAAGTATTTTCATTTTCACCTACTGGCCGATGAGTGAAAAAAAAGGCAGGGTTTTTAAATAGTATTCAAATAAGCAAAGAAGTGAGCTTGGGAAGCAGACGAGTTTGAGGAGTGCAGATTTTAAAAACGAGGTAAAGTGTAGAAGTAGTACTTTTCTTTTTGCTGGGTTTTGCCTGGTTTTGATTTTTGAATTCAAGTTGTTCGATGAAAAGATTAAAAGAAGAAAGAACAAAAAGAAAAGAATCTGGGTTTTCTCAGGAGTAAGAGTTCAGTACAATATTTGGTTTAAACAATTGAAATTGGGTTGCTGCCAATGTCTCTCTTTTGCTAAAGACACCCATTTCAAAGCCTTGAAGCTGCATTCTTTTAATGTGAAAATCCCCAGAGCCCATCACTACTTTTTTCGACAATTATATTGGAATCTGACCCTTTTTTCTCTCTTCCCCATTAGTCCTTTGTTACTTTACATTCTGTTACTCGATCTTGTTTTGAATTATTTTGAATTGTTTACTTTTGTGTTTTTTTATTGCTTTTCAGCTTAAAACCATACGTGAAGGAGGGAAAGTAGCCGAAACAGCTCGTTTTGTTTGCTTGAGAAAGGGAGATGGAAGCTTTGTATGTTTTCCCTTGGATTTGCATATTGGGTTTGGTATTGTTTCAAGGAAATGCAGAGCTTGTTGAAGAAGATAAGCAATCATTGCTTGATTTTGTTAACAAGCTGCGCCATTCTCGTTCTCTAAACTGGAATGAGACATCTCCAGTTTGCAACAACTGGATGGGAGTGACTTGTAATAAAGATGGTTCTCGGATAATAGCTGTTAGATTGCCTGGTATTGGATTACATGGCCCTATCCCTGTTAATACCATTAGTCGCCTCTCAGCTCTGCAGATTTTGAGCCTTAGGGCCAATGGCATCAATGGTCACTTCCCTTCAGATTTCTTTAATCTCAGAAACTTATCTTTTCTTTATCTTCAGTACAACAACTTCTCTGGGCCATTACCTGTTGATTTCTCCACTTGGAACAATCTAACTATTGTCAATTTGTCCAACAATAGGTTCAGTGGGAGTATCCCTAGTTCGCTGTTGAATTCGACTCACCTTGAGGCGTTGAATCTCGCAAACAATTCACTCTCTGGTGAAATCCCTGACCTGAATTTGCCTAGCTTGCAACAGATAAACCTTTCCAACAATAATCTCACTGGTGTTGTTCCAAAGTCACTTTTAAGGTTCCCGGTTTCAGTATTTGAAGGTAACAATGTTTCGTTCGAAAACTTCCCTCCTCGAACATCCCCGTCTATTGCACCCTCTGGCGAACCGAATCCGACATCAAAGAAGTCCGGGAGGCTTGGAAAAACTGCATTGTTAGGAATAATAATTGCTAGTTGTGTTCTTGTGATCATGGCGTTTGTGTTTTTCGTAATTGTTTGCTGCTCGAGAAGAAAAAGTGAGGATGCATATTCGCGGAAGTTGCAAGCCGGAGAGATGTCACCAGAGAAAGCGGTCTCGAGAAGTCAGGACACGAATAATAGATTGTTCTTTTTCGAGGTTTGTAATTACACTTTTGATTTGGAGGATTTATTGAGGGCTTCTGCTGAAGTACTGGGGAAGGGAACTTATGGTATTTCATACAAGGCTGTGCTAGAGGATGCAACCACAGTGGTAGTGAAGAGGTTGAAGGAGGTTGGTGCCGGGAAACGAGATTTCGAGCAACAGATGGAGGTTGTTGGAAGCATTCGACATCCGAATGTCATCGAGCTGAAGGCATATTACTACTCAAAAGATGAAAGGCTGATGGTTTACGATTACTACACGCAGGGGAGTGTTTCTTCCATCTTACATGGTATGCTGCTTGGACCAATGCCTTGTTTATATATGATTAAAGCATTGATTTTTCCGGAAACATGTCGTTATCTTAATGCTTTACCTCTAGGAAAAAGATGAATCATATACAAAACGAATTATAATTCTCGGTACATTATGATTGAAACCGAAAAGGAAAAGCTGGAGAAAATTAGATTAAATATTGTGATGGATGCTGCTAGTTTTTTGAATATATCAGCCTGTTTTTCATTGATTAGATCAAGTAAATGTTCCTTAGTGAGCACTGTCTTTGATAGTAAAATAGTTTCTGAATCATTAACCAGTTCCTAATCCAAGTTACTAAAGACAATCTAATCTCGTCCTCGGCTTCTGTTCGATCTCTAGTTTACGGTCTCCGACTTTGGGGTTCATTGCAGTGATAGTGATCAAATAGCATCTACACTTCTTTTGATAATGCAAGTGCCTTTGCAGGTAAAAGAGGAGAGAATAGAATCCCTCTAGATTGGGATGCCAGAATAAAAATTGCAATCGGAGCAGCAAGAGGCATTGCTCGCATCCATTCAGAGAACGCGGACAAGTTTGTCCATGGCAACATAAAGTCCTCAAACATTTTCCTCAACTCCCAACAGTATGGTTGTGTGTCGGATCTCGGTCTATCAACTATAATGAATGCACTAGCCCCTCCCATCTCCCGTGCTGCCGGTTACCGTGCCCCTGAAGTTACCGACACAAGAAAAGCTATGCAGCCTTCTGATGTCTACAGTTTTGGGGTGGTCCTACTTGAGCTCCTAACCGGAAAGTCCCCTATCCATACTACCAGCGGTGACGAGATTGTCCACTTGGTCAAATGGGTTCATTCTGTAGTTCTAGAGGAGTGGACGGCTGAGGTTTTCGATATAGAACTGATGAGATATCCGAATATAGAGGAAGAGATGGTGGAGATGTTACAAATAGCAATGGCATGTGTTGTGAGGATGCCAGACCAGAGACCAAAAATGCTGGACCTAGTTAAAATGATCGAAAATGTCCGAACAATCGATTCCGATAATCGACCATCTTTGGGAAACAGATCCGAAAGTTCAACAACAGCAACAATGATTGGGAGAGAATCCCAGGTCTCACAATGAATCAACCAAAATCTTTATTCGTGTTTCTTGTTCCTATTATTTTTTATCTAAGTTTACTCTCTTATTTTTCTATCTGAAAAGAATCATGAAGTTCTTTTGCCTTATTATGATAGTCTTATTTCGAGCATATTGATCAATTGACTAAATATGCTTACTCATTAAGTGAAATGTCTATCGTATGGATAATTTTTTAAACAAAGAACTCGTATATAAATTATTTAACCAACACATATCTTAGAAATATGAGATCACAATATTGCAAATTAGTAGCAATCTTGGTTTTTTCTTGATCTGGTTTTCACATAAAATTTTTATCATCACTTCTCAAGATAAACTTAATATATTTAAATTATATTTCTTTTTCTGTTTAGGTGTTTATTTTTTTTATCAATACATGTGTTTAATGTTACAAACGTTATCAATTTAAGCTTTTGTCTAGTCTGTCACAGATATTAAAAATTCTCGATGACCACTCAAAATATGACCATGTTTATAATTTTCTAAACTTTTTATTTAAAAATTTAAAAATTATTATTATTTGAAAAAAAAACTTAAAACCTTTAGTCTCAAAGCACCAATGCCATCACTTACTGTCCCTTGTTGTTGCCGTCCCCGCCAACTGCCTACCTATTTATCGTCGGATCCCAATGTCGATTATCTCCTTGTTGTTCTAATCCTTAAATTTTAAGACTAAAATCTCCAAATCACAATCAAATTACATTGGGAAATCTCAGCGACGTTGGTGCGCTGAATTGTACCCAAATCTCTTGTTGCATGGTTGGTGGGTGATCATCAACGATAATGGTGGCCAGCTATAGAAAAACTTTTGGGGTTAGAGGTATTTCAGAGTTCATAAATTTTGATGTATTTTATGGAAAATAGAAAAAATGGAGTTTTTTTTTGAAATTTTATAAATGTTATTTTTTAAATATTAAAAGAAATTAAAATTAGGCCACATGTTGAACATTGATTGATTGACTGATTTTTTTAAGACTCATTACAGATAAACACTTAAAATGACAACCTTAAGCACCTTAAGGTGAAAAGTAGGAAAATGGTTATAGTTGGAGTATCAATTTGTGAGTTAATTCTTTTAAAAAAAAGTAAAATTATTAGTGTAAATTATAGTTTCATCACTTATTTTTTTCACTCTTATTTTAGTCACTAAAGTTTAAATTTTTTAATTTACTCATTGAACTTTTAATTTGTTCTTATTTTTGTCACTATGCCGTTAAATACTTAACAACATTATGACTAACTATTTTTTCTTTTTAAAATTACAAAAAAACCCCAATTTTTTTTTATTTTTTAAAAAAATTCATAATTCATGATTTCTTTTAATTTCTCGATGAGGAAGCATCTTCTTCTAAATTACAATTATGGGGAGGTGAAGAAAGAGGAATCAAATTGTATATCTTGATTCCACGTTTAACAATTATATATATTATAGATCAAAGTAGTTTTGGCAGTGACAAAACTCTGCATTATTTCTTGGGCATTTAAAAAATTGTATATATTAATTAAAATATTTTAGTAATTTTATAAATGTAAGTTATATATCAAAGTATCATACTAATAAAAAATTGTATAAATTCTTAAAATTCATCTATAAATATAAAAATTTAAAGAAACCAAATACATCGATAATAATGTTATCTAGAATTGTGTCTCAATTTTTATTTTTAGAGCTAAAAATTCATAAACCCACATATAAATATAGATATTTGATACATTAAAAAACTATAAATATTTAAAATAAAAACATAAATATAAATTAAATTAAAATTATTTAAAAAACTTATTTTTAACTGAAATGAAATTTAAAAGTTATATACTTAATTGAAGGTATCAACTCAAAAAAGATAAACAACCAAACAAGAAATACAGAGAAAATTTTTTGTATCCTGAAATCACAAAGGAAAATGAATTTTCATCCATTTAAAAATAAAATAATAATATAAAAATTAGTTGTTAACAATTTTTAATAAATGTTATTAAATTTTAAAGTAGTATACATATTTTTTGGGCAACCAAATTTAATAACTTATTATACACGATTTTTGAGGGGACCATATATATATATATAAATGGATAAGATCCAATTGCACAATATATATATATATATATATATATATATATATATATATATATTAATTTTACACGTATTTAAAATATTTGGATATATAAAAATAGAAGGTTGTGATTAACAGTATAAATTAAGAAGATAATCACTGAAAAAATAAGGAGTTAATCTCATTCTTCTATTTTCACTCATTCAAATGTTCTAAATATATATAAAACTAAAAATATTACACCATTGACCTCACTAGTCTGTTACATGTTCTACCACTAGTTTTTGGGTTTCTTGAATTTTGAGTTTAAGATTGAGTTTTATGATTTTTAAAGTGATTTAAGGTAAAATCTAAACTAATAGAGTGGTAGGAGACAGTGAGATGAGTTCGACGATGTTCTAAGTGGTTGGAGAAGACACTATATAATGGTAATTATGATGTCGACATGTGTGAAATTGTAAAACTTTCATTTTAGAGAGAAAAATAATAAAAAATGTCATGTTAAAAAATAATTCACTTCAGTATATGTGTTTGTCATATCACTATTTCATTTATGATTTAATACTTGAGTGACTAAAATAGGTAAAAATCAAAATTCCAATAAGTAAATTAAGATTTTTTTTAAAACCTTAGTGATGAAGATAAGACTGAAAAGAAAGTTAAAGGATGAAATTAATTGTTATTCAAAACTCATTTTCTCGGACATCTCTTTCTCAAAGCCTTTTCGTCTTTATATCTCCTCCGCTGTTTTCAGCGACTAAAGAAGCAAACGGACAATAGGCCAGGACAGGAGGATATCTCAGGTACAGTTTTTCTCTCTCCAATTTCCGCTTTCTTTTCTTCTGGTTTCTCCTCATTTTTTAAAATTTCGGTGTTTGTTTTGTCAAGATCAAAGCGATCTGCCTTGAAAATTTTATTTTGGTTTTTTTTATCTTGGTTTGTTTTAGGGTTTAGGTGATGGCTTCGAAGCGGATCTTGAAGGAGCTCAAGGATCTCCAGAAAGATCCTCCTACCTCTTGCAGCGCAGGTTCAGTTTTATATTTTTCTCTGTTTCATATCTCGATTTGTTTATTGTTTGCGGTTTTTCTCATGATCCTTTTTAGATTTTTTAGGTTTTGTTTGGCGAGACTTATTTTATGAGAAAATGATTAGAATTTTTGTAGGTATCTGCCTTTTGTTTTTCAAATTATGACATGATTCAATTATTATTGCTGCATAATAGAATTTAAACTGTCTATAATGAAGCTATGCTATTATTTGTCTTTTCATTTTGATCATGATGATTTCATTGGATTCTAATTACAATTTCTTTCTTTGTTTTTCTCATCTTCGTTTTTCAAGTTTTAGATTTACATCGTTGGATTTTTATTGACTCAAGATTGTTAAGACCTTTTTCTTAATTTTTTATTCATGTCTGTTTGTTAAGTTGTTATTTGGTTATATGAAATTATTCTTGTATAGGTGAGGTTGTAAGGAAATGATTTGCATATTGCATGTATTGACTATAGGAACTCGTCATTTTTGTTATACGTGCTCAAATTGTTTAGGAGTGAAACATCTTACAATTTCTTATGGCAGATAATAGAAAGGATAAGAGTTCATTTGATTTTAATTTATGAAAAGATTTTGGTAAGGTTACTTGCAGATTGTTAATCTAACAGTTGGCTTTTACTTCTTTCTATTATTGAATTAAGGCCCTGTTGCTGAAGACATGTTTCATTGGCAAGCAACTATCATGGGTCCACCTGACAGTCCATATGCTGGTGGAGTGTTTCTAGTCACCATTCATTTCCCTCCAGACTATCCATTTAAACCGCCTAAGGTACTTAATTGAATTCCTTAACCAAACTAGTTCACTTTCTTTCATGCCTTGGCTATATATTTGTATTTCTAACTGGTAAGTGCTGCTATTCCGTATCTATTAATTATTTGGTTTCCTATTATCATATATTCAATTTCAGTCCATCCGCTTATTACCATATGGTTCAGTTCGGATGCTTAACATTGTATCGGATTTCATGTTTTATTTCTTGTGCTTCCTACATAGCCCCATGGGAGGTTGTCTATGAGTTTGGCCCAGTTGAGTGACATGTTAGTGGGAGTGTTAACTGATGTTATCTTGTACCTCCACCTATTACCATCCACCTATTACCAATTGATTTTATGTTGGATGCCTAACATTAACTTATTGACTATATAATTGACTGTAATTGGCTGTCTTTTCAATTTAAAATCAAGCCTCTATGTCTCTTAAGTGTCTTGAAGAAAACTGCATGGCATATTCCACAACTTTATGTCAACAAGTTATTTATCTGTTAACCATCTATGCAAGTTCTACAGACATGAGTGCCTTCTCCTCGGAAATCCAATACATCCGTTCTTGTGATGCGGACCATGTGGTGACTGTTCATGTTGTATTAGTTAATTCCTTGTAGATAATATGACCAAGGTGTCTCTACAGGGGAAGTGGCTTGTGCAAGCATTACTCGGCAATGAAATGAGTAAATGCTAATCCTACTTGATTGCCTTTTAGCCTACCTTATTTTATTCTGGCGCACAAATACTTTTCTTCATAGGGCATGTACGCATGCACAGTGGCGCATGCACATGCGTACCGGTGTCTAATGATTTAGTTTATGCATTCCAGAGCCAAAATTTACCTGATATATTGTTTCTTTTACTTTTTATAGCATTGTCAGGTAAGAGCTTTCTCTTTTACATGCACATGGATATATTATTTTAGTTATGGCTCCTCACTTTTGCTGTATACTTTTTAAACAAAAAGTGTTGATGATCTTTTATTTTTTTTCTTCCTGTCAGGTTGCATTCAGGACAAAAGTCTTTCATCCTAATATTAACAGCAACGGTAGCATTTGCCTCGATATTTTGAAGGAGCAGTGGAGCCCTGCCCTCACCATATCCAAGGTTAGTTCAACACTCCCAACTGCCATTAAGTGTAACATCTTTTATTTGATTATACATTACCATGTTATTCCATCTATCAACCATTCTTCATAAAGCCTTTAAAAACAAATGTATCCTTTTAAAATGAAAGTCTAGCAAGCCTTTAAAATATAGCCTTTCATCTACTGGATTTGGGATATATTCTAGGTGTTGCTATCAATATGCTCACTGTTGACGGATCCGAATCCTGATGACCCATTGGTGCCGGAGATTGCGCACATGTACAAGACCGACAAGAGCAAGTACGAGACAACTGCTCGGAGCTGGACCCAGAAGTATGCTATGGGTTAGTATGCTATGATGCATGTAAGAAAAGGAGGGCTTCATCCCCAATGACTTTGGTCTTTAAATTAATGTATGAATCAAATATGATGTGATATTTCACCTCTTTATTTAGTGGACAAAGCCCTGTTTGCTTGTATGGAAATTATCTTTGAAACTGAAAAGAGCACAAACAACATTTTCTGTTCGTTTAATTAAACGAACGAATACATATAAAGGGCTCGTTCGTTCATTTACGTTCGTGAACGTTCGGTAATTCATTCATTTACGTTCGTGAACGTTCGGTAATTCGTTCATTTACGTTCGGGCACGTTCGTTAATTTGTTTGTTCATGTTCATTTATTTAATTAAATTTATATTTATTTTCGTTTAATTGTATTCTTCTAAGAATTTTTACTTGATTTAAAGAGTTACATTTTATGTTCTTTCATTTACATTTTAACGAACATGAACGAACACAAACAGGTTATATTTTTTTTAATGAATGAACATGAACAAAAATTTCTGTTTGTGTAGTTGTTCATGTTTGTTCGGTTAAAGTTAAATGAACGAACATAATATACTCTCATTTCGGTTTGTTTATGGCCTAGTTTTCAAGCTACCCATCTTGGATTTTCATTCTGTACTAGTAAAAAGCGTAGTCAGGTTAAGCTCTCTATAATCCCAGTTTCAATGTGCCAACTCGAGAAGAAGTGAGTGGTCCGGTGGGTGTTTTTGCCATTATTGCTGAAGGTTTGGAAAGCCTTCCTTCTCTGTGCATGTTGAAGACGGATCCGAATGAAGAACAATATCCTGTGGCTTTACGGTTAACTAAATATGTGCAGAGTGCTGGTGGGCTTATGTTATGTGAAGATGATGGAAGAGCCAAGATTTTGACCAACCCCATATTTATGGGCATGCACTTGCTCTCTTTCTCGCTCGCCCATTTATGATGATCATGGAAGAATAAACAGGTGCATTACATTCATTTATGATCATCAGATTCGAATTCTTTGAATTAGGGGTGAGCATTCGGTCTAGTAGTTAAGTCAAAAAATTTCGAGTTATTCAAGTTGACTTAAATTTTTTTGAGTCAACTCAAGTTTATAAAATTTGAGTCGAGTCGAGGCAAATTTTCAAGTGTATTTAAATTTTATTGTAAATATTTATATTATTATGATATTATTCGATTTCAATTTAAATTGTTTTTATAACCATATATAATTACATATATATTTCTTCATATTTTTTTCATGTTATATATATATATATCATATAGAGTCAAGAGATTCAACTCAAACTTAAAAATCAATCTATTAATTACTAAAAGTTTTGAGTTATTCAAGTTACTATTCGAATTATTTGAGTTGTATTTCAAAACTCGACTTAAACTTAAAAAAAATTCAAGTCGAGTCGAGTTTATAAAATTATAACTCGAAGTCTAATCGAGTTGAATCGAAAAAATTAATTTTTTAAATCAAATCGAATTTTACTCATCCGTACTATGAATTATAGCGTGAACATTTGTCTGTCAAAGAAAAGGAAAAGGAAAAGGAAAAAGAAATTAAAATTGTCATTTCTGTAATTGTTAAACAAACCATTAATTAGTCTAAAATAGGATGAGTCATTTTGAAGTGACGCGGCATATTAACCCTACTTAATATAGTTGAATTAGAATAATTTTATTTAATTAGTGGATAGATTAAAAGATTATCAGGTAAAATTGTCAGACAATGAGTTCGGTGTACATATTTTGTCACTAAAAATGTCACACCATCTAATTATATTATTAAATGTGCCACATCATTTTATTAAGCATATATCATAAAATTAACTTACATTTTTTTATTTTATTTTTGCCATATTTTCTTCACCATCAATCTCGTTAACTACATATTTATGACCTAATGACCAAACAATTGAGTTTCAATTGGACTTATTTAAAAAATTTAAGCAAATGAAGCAATTTTTCCCACTTATATCTAAGATTCGATTATCTTTTAAGTCCAATTGGACTTATTTGAAAATTTAAGCAAAGGAAGTAATTTATGATTCGATGATATTTTCTATTTTGGATCATCGGATTAGATTATGACACGTGGTTATGTTCGTGGATAGTTTCCTACGTCGCTTGACTCTGATATACGATTTATCGATGGTCTTTCAGTAGTTTTCATCCTTTTTGTGGTCGTTTATCGATGCAATTAGATCTTTTCGTTTCTATCTCTATTCGAGTATTTTGGTTGAGTTTTTAACATTTTCCTTATATGACTATTGTATGATCTTAAGTGGTTAATTTTTTGTGTAAATGATTATAGAAAAATATTCTAATTATATATTTAGTTTACGGTTATATTATAAACATTCATTGTAATTTTAGATGTTTTTCTTTTAATAAAAACTTGTTGATTCTATTGAAAAAATTTATCTGAGTCATAAGTCAACATGTAGTATTTATATTGTAATGACCACCCAAAAAATTCAAATATAATCATATATTAATCATCTAATAAAAATCAGGTGCTTCTTAATTCAAATTTTATGTATTAAAAAACTTTAAACCCAATTTGTCATTTGTCTATGAGAAATTCTAAGGTGGCGTTTGGTTCACTAGAATGTTTTTGAGGGAATTGGAATTGTGAAGGAATTGGAATCTGTCAGGAATTGGAATCCAATTTCATATTCTGTTTGATTCGCAGACATGTCAGATGAATTTGATTTCAGTAATGTAAAATGACAGAATTGCCCTTCTTGTTTTTTTTTTGCTTTATTTTAGTTTGTTTTACAACTTACATGTAGTAATATATTATAAAAAATTAAAAAAATATATATTAAAATTTCATTTTATTGATTGATTATTCATTTCAATAAATTATAAAAATCATGCTAATAAACATCATAAGTTAAAATCATCGCAATCAAAATATGTTAATAAGTTACCAAAAGATAGAGCAATATTTCGATGTATTCCAATCGGAATATGTTAATTAGTTACCAAAAAATATACCAAAAACTATTTTTATTCAATATATGAATTATAAACCCGACACGACACGACACGAAATAATAAAAAAATTATTTTTATTCAATAAAAACATTGATTTAATTGAAAAAAGTTATATATAGAGGGGTATTATTGTAATTATTCCTAAATATATAAGGTAAAATTATATATTTTTTCGGGTCGGGTCCGGTTTTTTTCACCCTAAACCCGAACCCGACCCGACCAAATAAAGTTTCATCCAACCCGATCCAAATATATGAATTAGAAATCCGACCCGACCCGACCCGAAATAATAAAAAAATATTTTTATTCAATAAAAATAGTGACTTAATTGAAAAAAATTATATATAGAGGGGTCTATTGTAATTATTCCTAAATATATAAAGTAAAATTATATATATTTTCGGGTCGGGTATTTTTCACCTTAAACCCGAACTCTATCCGACCCGAATATCGCACTAAAAAAAACTGACCCGACCCGACTAAAATAAAGTTTCACCCAACCCGACCCGAATATATAAATTAGAAACCCGACCCAACCCGAAATAATAATAAAATATTTTTATTCAATATATGATAAGTTACCAAAAGATTGATGAGAGTAGTATGGTCAAATTTCAATTCTCTCCAACAAATTGAATTCATCCATTCTTGGATGGAATTCACTTTCCCTCCTTTGATGGAAAGTTCCATGAGGGATTCCAATTCCCTTGAAAAACTTGAACCAAATATAGAAAAGTGGTGAATTGGATTATAATTCCCAATTTCAATGGATTCATGCCACCAAACGCCACCAAATGCGTCCTAAGGGTTATGAAAATAATGAATTTTCTAATAATGAATTTTAATGGTAACATGAAAGTGAGTCAAACTATGTCATACCCCTGCATTGACAATGCATTTTTAGTTAACTTTTTAGTTCTGTTGTTCCTTTTTCAGATTTCTTTTGCAAACAATTCGGTCGGAAATTGAGAAGTCTTTCGAAAAGTGTCTTCTGTCGGTCGACCGCAGACTTTGGATTCCTATCCTCCACGATCGATCATCCTTTTTTAACAAGACTTTTAATATGACTACCGATAAGCTTTTTCAGAATCAAACTTGTTGTCAATAGATCATATCTTTCTAACTTATCAGCCTACAAGTCATCGTCAAGATGTGTATCAGACAAAAATAAACTTAACATTAAATATTAAGCATGATTTAAAAAAAAATAGTTAGATGATCAAAATAAAATAATAGTAATAGTTTAGGTACTAAACAGGTAGTTTACTCTTATAAATATTATCCTCCCGACGTGAATGTAATCCACGTAAGCTGAGACATAACCACGGATACGTGTCAGTAGTTGGGACCCATCCTATCCGTACCTGTGGTTAGTTGCCTTGGATTTGCGAGGCGCTCCCCATACGCTTCGTTAAGGGCTTAAATGCTCACCACTAATTCCTATGTTCCACTTGTTCATTTAGACAATACAACCTTAAATTATTTCCATCACTCATCGATATGAAAATACTTATACATAAATAAATTTATCTGATTTTTTTTTCATGAAATTTGTATTTTTTTCAGAATAAAATACATAATTCGTTACTAAATCAGTTTCGTTTGTCATTATAGTACTCGATATGAATTAGTCGATCAATAAAATATCATTGGTTAATTAAAAAATAATCTAATCCTTAAATTATAAAAAGATTTTAATGATAGTATAGCTTGAGGTTTCCAACACCAACTTCAATTTTTTTTGACTTAATATAAAAAAAGTATCCAAATTATATCTCTTTTCTCATTTAGGTGTGAAATTTTTTTCGATCAATTTAGGTGTCTAATGTTTCTAATGTTATTATTTAACGATTGTTAAAAAATTCGATAAAATCAGTCAATTAATCAATATTTGACACGTAACTTGATTTTTTATTTCCTTCAATTTTTTAAAAATAAAATTCATATTTAAAAAAACCCTCAATTTTTTTTTATTTTTCATAAAATACCCTAAGACCTTCAATTTTGACATAAGAGTACCACCACCGTCAGTGGTTGGTGGGCGTTGATGATCGCCGACCACCAGCCAACCGATCACTCACCTACCGATTGGAATGGATACGTGTTGGGATTTAAGGATTTAGGGTTTGAATTTTAGGGGTTTGAAGCTATGATTGACGACTGACGATGGGTG